AGAGGAAAAGGTGCAAACCCCCCATTTTTTTAAAGAACAGTCAATACATCGATTAACCGTAATCTCAGTCATGCTGCCTTCCTCATACTGAGTGATGTTTATATACCAATCAATGACAGAGCTGCCTGGCATGCTAATCTACCGTTATCTCAACAACTATTGGATGGAATGTCATCACATTTTGTAAACACATTCATGGTCCCTAATGACTTTGGTGATCTTTTAACCTTTCCTTAAGTGAAATCATCTGATCAGCTTTTTAATTTGTTTGTTTTTCTTTGGTTTATGACTCACAGACCTAATGACATTCTCATCAGCCTCAGCTGTGCTCTCAGTTTGGTGAGAAGTAGCGTGCTAAGTTAGCATGCTACCCTGCTAAACTAGTGGTGCTGAACATGTAAACATTGTACCTGCTAAACATCAGCATGTTAGCTTCAGTGTCTGTCACCAAGCTGCTAGTTTGGCCAGAGGCCAAACACTCGTCAAGATATAACTGTGTCCATTTCACAGACTTTTGTATTGTGGACAAATCTGTGCAAGCTGAACAGAGACTACTTTCTGATCTCATGAACATTTGTTTATTTCTGGATTCCCATTATCTTCCACTACAGCAGTCATTAATCTTCCTGGGTCCACACATTCAAAAGCACATCAACTTTTGTCCAGTTCTGGTTCACTCGGACTCTGCACCTGCAGGGTGTGCACTGATTCTGTCTTAGCAACAATGAAGCACTGTCATTCCTGTCGTATTCCTCTGGCTCCGTCTTGCACTTGGATCCAAAATACAAATCTGACTTCAAGCTTTGACAGGACTAGTGTGGTTGTATTTACAAAAAAAAAACGGATGAGCTCTAACACGTGTTTGAATTAAGCCCCACTACCAATGTCAGCAAAGCTAGAGCTCACAGTCCGTGCTAGTTTTCAGACATTATCAAATAATTGCACTGACAACTTTAAACTAGTGCAAAGCCATCCTGTATGTACAAAGATTTTTCTTTTTACTTTAAAGGCAAGTTTTTTTTTTTTTTATTACTGGAGCCTCTTCCTCTGAGGATGATGGCAGTGTAATGCTGCCTCTTATGACAACCATGACTGACAAAATTACAACATTTCCTCATGGAACATCTAGTCCAGCAGAAGCAATACTTCATTGTACGTTGTAGGTAGCTGTAGATCAGCTAGTTAACCCTGATATGACTGAGCTTACACAGCTTTGTTCAGCAGTAACTCGAACAGCGATCTTCAGATGCACAAATCAGTAACAGTTCAAAAATCACTGTTGATATGTGAAGCATGTAGCTGCTGGTTTTTTATCAGATGAATGGTGGCTTTGAGTGCTCTACTGAATAAAATGTCTCTCCTGGGTATAAAATATGTTTTCAGCAATTTGGTATTTTAAGTCACAGTGTGGAGGAGCACTTTATAATCAGCTTCATGCTAGATAATGCTGCTTTTTAAAAAGGTTTTCACTGTAATTATTGTCAACTAATAACCTCAGGCATTCACAGCTCTCAATACATTTTGTCCATCTTGTCCATCATCTGAACCACAGTCATTAATCTCCTACTGAAATTAAGGATTTATTTTACTAAATTTCTCAAATCAGACATGAAACCTTTATTACCTGATAATTTTTCCTGTGGATTCTTGAGAGAATAACTGTCATCAAATTATCTTTAATCTGTACCTGTTCCAAATGACAAGTCACAATAAAACTGGCTTTTTCAATCACTTGTGGAGTGATGTGGATTCTCATTTTCTCTGGGGCCATTTTTCTCAGTGGGGCTCCAACACAACAGTGGGTGTTTCCTCCTCCCATTCCATGCCATTTTTCTCTCTCATCACAAATCTACCACTCACAATCGACAAGCTCATTGATTCAGCAGCCCCCTCTTGCTCAGTCTATCTCACTCTGCTAATCTCTCCACCTCTCTACCTGCTTACACTAATCCCTCTACACTGCAATTTCTTCTCTTTTGCTCACTCACGTCTCTGCTCTCAGTTGCAGACACTTTGGGCCTCTTCATTTTAGCAATTGTTCCTCTTCCTCCATCTTTCCTTAAATCTCCTCTTCACTCATAGCATTGGGAATCAGAGTACTAAGTGGTCTGGTCTCATTAGACTTTGCTCACTACAAAATACAGACTGCAATTAAATTGACAAAAAAAACCTCATTATGGTTTAATCAAAGTCATAAATTTTAATGTTTTTGTTCTTAAAATACACCAAGTTGACTGGCTGTAATACTGTATTGTTCTAAGACAGCACAGCACAGACTGTATGTCAAAAATCAGTCACCTGAAACACTTTAAAATGTATTTGGAAATTTTTTAAATGAACACCAACAGACAAACTTCAACTCATTATCTATGAATATGACCATAGAGAATGGACAGGGGGCAAAGACGGGTTTGAGATCAGTTAAAGGCTGAGCTGCTACACAAACACACTCCTACACACACAGTCTGTTTCTAGCTTTCTTAACATCTGGATAGTTGGTACATTATCTAAAGTGAATAAACAGGCTGAGGCAAAGACCAAAACACTTTGACATACTACAATTACTGTAAGAAACCCCCGAAGAAGACACACGTCAACTAACAGGAATACACCATAATTTTCAAGTGTTGGTACATGCCAATCTGAACACTGCATTCCAACCTAGCTGTCTTAATTGTTTAAGACCAGGACAAATTGTGACTCGTACCTCAAAGGTTTTCCAAATTCAAATCTGTACAACCACCTGATATTTCAGCTTTGACTGACACCTGATGTCAACGGATGGCGAACAGAAATCAGGCGATGTGCAGCTTCTCTACAGTAGCTGTGGCCTGTAGTTCCACCATCCATCTTATTCAACATGAAGGTCTGTACCTATGATTCCAATAAAACTGTCCTGATGCCTGACTCGCTCCATTCACTTTATAACTTCATCAAAAGCAGACCCCAGCAGACCCCAGGACAAACTTAATGATACAGTAAATTGGCCACAATAGTGAACAAATACTCACTGACATCTCTTCTGGTCTGGCAGGGCTGACCTGACAAGTAGAATCTACTATTTAAGCTTAAAATAAAGCGCATACCTGCTAACGCAACACAGAAATCTCAAATTCTAAGAGCCGAAGTTTTACAGACACATCGCCACAATTCATCTTTTATCTAGCAGTGCTAGTTTATAATTTGTTACCACTCCAGCATCCAACCCACATCTTCACTTACAAGCTATAATTAACATTCCAGACATTGTCTTTTCTAAAAAAGTCATCTATACATATAAATCATAAAGCTGCACCACATATTTCACAAAAACCTCAGAATTTTACTATCTGTCAGATGAATCAATGTTTTGATGCTGCTGCACAGAACTCACTGACCCTAAATCTGCTCCTCTCAGTGATATTCCAGAACATAAAAATGAAGTATAAACATGGCCCTCAAGAGCAGAGAGCAAACTCCTACAAACAATAGCTGAACCTCTTCACTGTACCAATTGGTTTTACCAACATCAGGCTGAGGTTTTCCAAATGTAAAAGGCTATATGCAGCTGTGCTACATTCAGGTGGGGGCTTTTAAAAAGCTGTACAACCATGCAACCTTTGATTAAAATGCATTTATATGCACTGCTGTATAAGGTATTGAGTTTTTGAGTATATAGATGAGAACTCTGTGTAGTATGTGTAGGTTAATGGGTTTTATGAGAAACACTGGATATTTTTCAATCCAGTCTTTAGCAGAAAGCATAGCCGACCCCGACCTTGGTCAATGCTAAGTGTTGAGTGGAAACATTGGAGAGGAGCACAGTTTCCAAAGGAATAAACTCTTATCAGGCTATGAAGGGGAGGCGGATGTTCTGTGATTGGATATGCAGTCTACATTAGGAGCAGAAATAAACAGATTGTGGAACGTGGGCAGCATTAAGGTAAATACCATCTCATCATCACAGAGTGAAGATGTCACATATTTACTGGTACAATGCAAGTGTCTCGATGTCTTGGATGTTGAAAAAAACCTGACACACTTTGGTTCCTTCATTAAAAATGATCTGATAGCTGGGTTTTCAGCTATCACCAGAAAGACGTACTTTAAATCACTGTTATATTATTAGATGGCAGCTTCGACCAGTACCTCTGTGCAGCGTGACCTTACGGCACATAACTGCCTCTAAAAGCACAAAACAAAACATCACATCACAAAACAATAAAAGATATACTGTGCAGGTTAATTAGTGGCTGGTGCATTTTTAAACTTCCAGTCTTTAAACTAATTATCCTCTGGCTCTCGCACCTTTCCTTGAGCATGTTAGCACACAGCTGCCTGCTTACACATTCAGCAGACAGAGCAGCATTAACATTCATGTGGAGTTGTGTTTGTGTCTACCTGATTAATTAATGTCAGTTCAACATTCACCCTCGTTTTACTTTGTTTTGCTCACTAACTTATGAGAAAAATCTTTAGCTAGTAAAATAAAAAGGTTATAGCTCACACATTGGTTTGATGCTCCAAAAAGTACATTTACTGTATTCAGACCAAGCTGCCATGCCAACGGCATTTCGACATTAAGTCTTTCTCAGGTACCCAAACCTGAGCTGTAAAATAAATGCTATGCTGTCTGTCTGTTTGGGGCTGGGTATGTAGGTCTATGTACTGTCTATGCTAAAAAGCTTCCTGTTGAAAACAATGTTACGGGAACAGTGAGACTGAACCGGAACAGTGGGGCAGCAAGCAAGAAAACCAAAACAATAACCTGAAACATGCTAAAAGACTCGGTGTAGGACAAGAAAATAGACTATCTGAAAACCAAAACAATAACCTGAAACATGCTAAAAGACTCGGTGTAGGACAAGAAAATAGACTATCTGAATTTAGCTATCCTTTTAAGTGATTAATAGTGTTTGGACTCACCAGGTCTGCAGGACGCTGCTCTGCTGCTCCTTCAAGTTAACTACCTTTGCTGCAGGTAAGCTGACAAAACATAACCACCAAGGTGTCTTGTTCTTTTAGTTTATATTTTATTTGACAAGACAATGATCTGTAAAACATGTAGGCCTACTATAGGTTTCCCAAAAAGCATACAAAACGAAAACTGATTTGTGACAAACAAAACAAATGAAATAAAATCAATAAACACTCACAAAAATATGATTACATCTCCAGTGTGTGCTCTTTTTTTTTTTAGCATTGCCATCATCAGTGTCAAACCCATCCAATGTTTGTGTTTTCCCCTTTCATCATCTGTTCTACTGTCATACAAGAAATGTGAGAATTGAAAAGCTAAAAATAACATAAAGAAGGCACGTCTGGCTCTGTGATGAAAAGCTGTGCTGACAATAGATGAATGAGAGAGAACGGAGAGGGATAAACACTAAAAGAAAGAGGACCAAATGAGGGAGAGGATTCAGAACAAACAGCGTTATCACTGACGTTCACAGCTTGTGTTTCTGGCATTGAACCTGTAACAAGGGAGAGTGGATATGGACCACACTACCTTGGCCAGCCACAGCTCTTGCAGAAGGGACGAACCCAGAGCCTTGATCTAACAGCTAATCTCTCTGAAATCAATGCACTTCCCACACATCAATTTCTCACTCCTGCGGCTGGACGAACACAACCTGCAAACTGAGTCTGGGTCCGTACCTCTTAGCAATTTCCGTTTCACAGCAGCATCATGACTGTATTCCTGGAGAAGTTAAGATTTTAATTCAAGATACCTCCAGTGAAGCAGCTCTGTTATATTAAACATAAGGCTCTGGGTAAAACTGAATGATCCCCCAAATGAAAGGGCAGAGCTGAAACTCATGAGTGAATGCTTGCCGAGTCACTGGTCTCTGATACAATGGGTCCCTGTGATTGTCTTTTTCCTTTCGCTCAGTCCATCAACAGTGACCCGCTGGCAAACACATTAAACGCATTAATCCACAGGAAACTAAATATTCATTCATTTTGGGAAATTAATTTACAGACAAAAGAGCAAACCATCACAATGAATTCCCCTTCATGACAGCTTTTGTTCAGGGGCAGGGCTAGAAAAGACATCTTATGTGATTGTCTCACACTGCGCCACACAAGTGAGCCAAAAAGCCACATATATGCCATGGTGGCCTGACTCTTTTTGCAAGCCTTTTTTTTGTACCCATAGGCCCATGCAGCATGCGACATGCCCTTTGATCAAAAAAAGCATCTTGGAGACAAAAAGCAGACGTACAAAGGAAAGTTTGACATTGTTGCTGTTGATGAAGTCGCTGTTTACTCTGCATCTGTCCTGAATTTCTACTGCAGAATAACAGTCTAGTATAATAACATTTTACAGTTAACCAGCCAAATTAGTCGTTATATTATGGTGAATCTAACAGAAATCCTCAAACTTACAACCTGGTTCAAAGAAAAGGCTTAAACTGTTTTTAAGTTTAAATGTGTCTTGTATGGATGGATCAGAGGTGCAGCAGTATTTCAGTTAGCGTGCAGTGAAATGGAGCTTTTCTATGACTTCTACTACAGTATCTGAACTAAACTGAACATGGACATGATTGTCATACATCAGAAAAACACTGTATGCATTCCAGCCTTGCAAAATGTGAGAGCAGTGATGTCGCCTGTCTTTTCAGTCCACTAACATTTCCTTGCTATGATGTTTTTATTCTATCAGTCTGATTTGGATCTACACGTGACTCTCCTCTTGTTCTGCCATCAACCTTTACACCTGCTGACAAACAAATCTGCATTTTACCCATCGTTTGACTATGTGTGTTTGCAGGTGATTCTAAGTGGGGCGGGCAGCTCTAGCCTGTCGTCCGACTGTCAGCACTGTAACTCAGGAAGGTTTGTGTAGCTCTGTGTCTCGAGCAAATGCTCAGGATTAAGCACCGTGCAAGGAAAGATAGCATCTCTGCGTGTATAGCACTGTGTGGCCATGAGAGACAGTGACTCCATGCTGACTGCACGTCTGGATCAACACTGAAGACAAAAACAGCTGTCATACGACAAAAAGACCCCACTCTCTCAACTTAAATTGGACTTGTGCTTAAAGTGTGTGTGACTGCGTCAAATGCATTGAAATGGAGATTAAAAAAAACAACAACACCTTTCTTCTTTTGACATTCTAAAAGGTTTTTACAAATGAGAGATTACTCTGCAAACAGCCTCGGGAAAAGTGTTTGAACAAACCACTGATCATGCCATGCACAATAATATGAACAAGGAGTAAAATCCACACCATTTTTTATATACTCAAATAAAACATTTCAGTATTAAGTGACAACCTCGGTGTACCTGTGAGAAGTAAAAGAGCAATATACACTTTGTTTTTTTATTTGCTTAATTTGACATTTAACAAACCTCCATCCCCTGTACAGAGGCACTGATAACACCTACACTTGTTTATTTTTTATGTGTACACATTTCACCAACAATATATTATTCATCAGTATTACTATTTACACTGCTTTTTCATCATTTGGTACCATCTGACATCTGCGGTATGAAGAGCAGTCTTTGATTCAGCCAGGCATAGTTGTTGCTCTTTCTTGCTTTGACAAAAGGGTAAAATGCAAAATGCATATTTTCCACATAAGTAAAATGTTCTGCATATATCAAAGTGTGTGGCCATTTTAATCTGTTAAAATGGCTGTAATGGCAGTATTTCTCTAATATATGCCGAGCATTTTCACACTCTGAAAGTACATTCCTGGTAATGTTTTCTCAGCCTTGATAGTGTGATTCATTAGAGGTGGACTGAATACAAACATTGGTGTTTTTGTATATTTGTGTGTGTGTGTGTGCGCACATGTAAGAACCCTGTGGTGTGTGCTTTGCATCTCTCCAATGCACAGCCTTACCAACTCTTACAATTAACAACAGCAAATATGAAATTATGAAATCTTAATTATGTTGCCAGGAGACTCAAAACAATGTCACCTCCTCTTCATTAGTGCTAACGAGCAGCCCGGCACTCTGACAGCTGCTGTACCCAGAGAAGGCCTTTACTGGACCACATCCTGGGCAAGAGTGGAAAAGGCTGTTTGTTTTACTGAAGTTATTGTAGGAGTCAATAAATAACTGAAATACTTTAAACATCTCAAGTGATTAATTGAAGCCACCAGATGATCAGGATTTGGACGTTCTGGGACCAAATTCAGCTGGATGTAATTCAAGCCCAAACAACCATGGAGCAAAAGTACTTTGAAAGGATTTCAAAGATGGTATTTTTTTTTATTCCTCTGCACTACAAAGCTGCAACATCAGTCTGATGTAGCCTTACTTTGAAAGGACAGGAAGTTAAAATCACTTTCCACAGCTGTAAACACAAGAGCCAAGTACTGGCAGCCCCGCACGCAGCACTAATTTTATGATTGTGTGTTCTATGCTCCTAGCACAACATGTTGCATATAATATTTCGTTCTGAATCCACTGAAGAAGCTGTTGTCCTGCTGTTTTTCTAGTGGAGTTTAGCTTTGTAAGCATCACACAAACAGGAGGCTGTGTGTTAATTAGCTGAGAGAGTGTTCTAGTGAACCTACACTGCAACACCTGTCAACCATGTAATTAACATATTGTGAAAATCCGCTTTTCACATATGATTTGCACAGCTATCTGGCTCGTCAGGTATCACATATGTGTGCATTTTAAGCTGCTTTGTAAAATGTGTTTTGTACTTTTGTACCGTTTTTGCTTTTCTTTACCAGATATTTGAAATGTAATGTGGACTAAAATACATATGACACCTCAGTTTGCAAGAGTTTAAGAAAAAAGAAACAAAATCATGTTACCCTTGTTAACATTAGTCCCACGCAGATTCACCAGAAATGAAAACACTGCTAAAAAGCTGCTTACCTGGTCAGGTAAATAAAAACTAACTGCAAAATGTCATTGTGTGCAAGTTAAAACGTTAACATTTTCAAAAGTTTAATGTGCCATAGAATGGGTTTCCAGTGTGAGAAACGTGTGCTTTCCTTTGCTTTTCATGCAAATTTAGGTGACCTGGAACTCGCCCATACGCCCACGACGTGGCGCTCTGGCTGCCCTGGTGCTCCGGCTGCCCTGGCTACACATACATGGCAGGGGACACAAAGCTCTCGCCACGAGCGATGTTAGCAGCTGGTGCCTCCTGATTGGATGAATCCAAGTCATTGCCATGGTGACCGTCAGCGGCGTGGTCTTTGAGTTCGTTGATGTTGTCGTCAAAGACAGGAGGGGCGCCGCCATTCAGGGCTCCAGTGGCCTCATCATCCAGGTTCTGCAGGGTGGAACGTAGCCAGGTTTACTGAAGTGATATTACATTTATTCATTAATAAAGTATGTACAGTAAGTCAACATGTTGTACAGAGCAGTGGCTTTTAAGGACAAAGCTCAAACAATAAAGAAAAGAAACTCCAAACCCAGCAATGCAGCAAATACGAAAACACACGCTGCAAGTGCTGTTATGCCACAGGACACTAGGTGAAGTGATGAGCTTGACTCGGACTTCTGGTGTAGCGCTGTAGTATTACTGCTGCACGTGCTTTTGTATCTGTTACATGGCCAGATTTGGAGTGTGCTTTCCAAATGCTTTGCACTTTCACTCTTGTGTGTGTGTTTTGTTCTTGGGGGCCACTGTGAAGACGACATGAAAAACAATGGGTTTCTTTCACTGTATCAGTGGTGGAAAGTAACTAAGTACATTTACTCAAATACTATACTTTATCACAATCTGAGATATCTGTACTTAACCTGAGTATTTCCTTTTTCTGTTACTTCATACTTCCAATGTTTCAGAGGCAAATATTATACTTTTTACTGCATAAAATATAATAAAACAATGCATTATAACCATTACTGATACTTGATACGTTTACTTATAACAGAACATTTTAACACTGTGGTATTACTACTTTCAGGTCCTCTGAAAGAATCTGAGTACTTCTCCCACCACTGCATCTTGCTGTACATGACCCTCATTCGCATACAAAAAAGGTTAAAAGTTTTAGGGTGACATTACACAATAACAGAATTTTACACAGGCTCAGTAATTATACTATGTACAACTAAATATTAATGGCATTTGATTAACTGGTATAAAGTAAAAACAGTGTGGCGGCCCTGAAACAGTGTGTAGCTGTCAGATATAGAGCCCAATGCAACTGAATGTGGGTCATGTGTCAGTGAGCAAAACATGCTTTGGCATCTGTGTGTCTGTGTGTGTGTGTGTTTTAGTTACCGTGACAGGCTCTGCCCCTGTGGGCTCATAGTAAACCTCTCCTGGGCTAAGAGGTGCTGTCTCTGCGGTCGTGGGAGGCCCTGATGGCTTGTTCAGCTACATGTACACGAACCGCATCGACACAGGGATGAGAAGAACACACAAAACAAGACAACAAAATGCAGCTGAGTGGATAAGAGTTCAGCTGAACTAGATAACAGAGCTGTAGTCAAACACACAGAGAAAGAAACAGACTTCCACTGACAAACACACAGCTGACTTTCTGATAGGAGAAGTAGTTTGTGATGATAATGTTAGCCAACTTTAGCTGATTAAATTAAATTTACGGATGTGAGCACGGCCGTGATTTTAAAGCAACCGACTCAAGAAATTCTTGTCAAATGATCCTGACATTATCCTGTGGACACAGTGGCTGCTGTTCTGCAAAAATCATAGTCTTGCTTTAAAGGAAAACTAGGTTGTGTGTGTGTGTTTTTGCATAGCTCTGGCAGTCGGTTCTTTCAGTTATGACAGCACTGTACACTCACTGTAATTGCTGCGATCTGGGAATGTGATTGCACTGCTAAAAATATTTGAGGCCAGGCAAGAAACACAAACAGTCAGAAATTCAGACAGGTTGTAAACAAACTGCCTGCTTGGTAACGCTTACTGTATGTGGAGGTAAAAATGCAGGCACTGGAAAGTTATTACCCACGCTGTCTGCTTTAAACACTCAACTCAGTTTACAGACTGGCTCCCTTATTCGAATGTAACCTAGCGTACTCGGTGTGCACCGCAGTTTCTCTGCCAAGTGATGGATTATTACAACATTATGGGTGAACTCACTTTTAGTTATTCCTTCAAATAAACGCAGCTAAACTGGCGGCTTGTTTGCAGCCGATGTGGTCGTCGACCTGCTTGAGTTTCCCACCTCACTGTTCCAGGATCTTTGCTGTTACTTTGGTGAGTACACTGTTAGAACAATCAGCAGAACCAATGGCCCACACTACAAAAATAAAAGCTTCCCTTTAACAAGATAACAGAGCTGTAGTCTCGAATTTGACTAAGTAAGAAAAAAAAAGCTAATTGAATTTGACCGCTGTAAGACTTGACTTACTGCACTTGAAGCAAAATGCATTTAAGTCTCAAATTTTGACTTGGTAAAATCCCAACACATGAATGAAATAAGACGTTGGTGTAGGTGTACTGCTAGAATTCTAATTACTTGGCCTTAGCACTGAAAATAGATCAACAAGTTCAAATGCTTTGGCATTTTAATTGCCTACATCTAAAAAGGCTTGCACTTGTGACTCAGCTTGAACTTTCCCTCAAAGACTAGAGGCTCAATTTATAAATGCAAATGGAGCTACAAACCTAATATGTCATCTTAATCCTGTTCCATAGATAGAGCTTTTGAAGACATGTAAACATCTGAACATCTAAACTTTCACTATTGAACCCCATTTCAAATCATTTATGGTCATTTATACATCTTTTATACATCTAATCAACATAAGATTGAAAAGTTTGAGTTTCACTACATGATGCGGTACAAGCACAACAAAATGTGATAGAATGATGGATTACAATAAGTGGAGACAGAGGCACTCTAATGGCGCTCTTTACAAACCGAGGTAATTATTTCGACACACATAAGCCAACTCAGATCTCCAATCAATAGCCATTAGCCCCATTATGACTGTCCAAATCGACTGTGTGTGTGTGTGTGTGTGTGTGTGTGTGTGTGTGTGTACAATATAATCGCAATGACAATAAAAATTGATTTGAAGCCATGTAGACCACTCACCATCTCTGTTGAGCTGCCTGCCTTCATAGGAGGAGGGGGCTTGTGCTTTGGCGGGCCCCTGATTAGACAAAAGACAGAGATAATGTGCTATTGATTGCTGCTTTGTTAAGACATTAGATTTCTCTGTATTATGCAGAGAAAAAAGCAGCTGAGAGAGCACAGAAATAATGTGCTCTGAAGACGTGCAACTGTGTCATAACTCAGTCCAGATTCTATTCAGAGCTTTGTGTGTTTGTAAGGTTTTACACTAGAAATCAGAAGAAATATTGACATGACCGTTTTTGACAGGTCTATTTTTTCCACTAAGTGGGAGAACTCGTTGCTGTCGGAAACGGATGATGACATGAACATTTGGCTGTAATTTTAAACAGCGTCACATGAAAATATAACAGCTGAGATACTAGACATAATATGTATTTGAACTCTACAGGTTTGGATGTACTATTCACTTTGTCTTTGCCTGCATCTCATGGCGCTGAAATGAAACACCCAGGAACTGGTTCCAACATCCTCCGGTGCCATTATTTCTCCATCTAACATTTATTTTCTGTTTCTAATCATGCTCTAAAAACCCAGTATCTCTATTAGTGTTGCTCATATAACAGCCTGTATCCATGTTGTAAACCCTTCAACCTGAGCCACAATGGGAAGGCATGTGGACGAGCAGCGCTGGAAATAAATCATGGCTTAAGGCTTTAAAAACATACTTCTCTGGTAATTTGTGTTCAAAACATGATGAGACCTGCCTTTGACACTGGATTACTCATCAATATTTGGCCATTTATATTCCACAGAACATACAGTACTGCACATCCTGTGACCCTGAACTTTGCAGTCATCATTACTGTCTGTTTGTAATTTTTAAAAAGCTTCATAAGTTCAGCGTGACCTTGTTGGACCGTTGCATCGCCTGTCCAGGTTGAACCCTGTCATGTGCTTGCTGTCAGCTGGGATCCAGCTCCAGCACCCCCCACAATCCTCTCAAAGATAAGCAGGAATAGCTGATGGATGCATGCACCCTTGGATCATAAAAGCATCATCAACATGTCTGCAATATAAATATGAGTCTAACTAAACACAAGTTAAGCAGAAACTGCTGTTCCGTCTCTTAAAACTGAAATTAAATCTGGAAAGGTTTAATAAATTCCTATTTACAGCTGCAGCCCAGTGGAGAACTGCAGAGCGTGAGGGGGGAACTGAGGGCTGAGCATTCTGGGAGTTAAATCTCCAAACGGCCTCATGCTGTAAAGTTCAGGTCAGGACTCGTCACTGAGCTACCTCTGCTGTGCTCCCTCATGACAAGTGATATGTTTTAATGAGCCTTAGTCCCAGAGGGGCAGATTAATTTTCCTCAGGAGGTTAAACAAATGATGAAGTACATGCAGGATTGTAAATGAAGACTTACTCTCCGTCTTCGTGGTACTTGTGGATGAAGAAGACAGCGGCCACGATGATGCCTATGATGACGAGGGCACCGAGGATGCCGCCGATAACGGCACCAGTCGGTGGGGCTGAAGTGATAACTCTTTTCTTTTCTTTGAATGGAAGAGACACACAGAAGAAAAACAGAGCAAGGAGAGTTTTATTATCTGTTCATTTAAATTTCATGTGAGTGCTTCTGGCACTTTAGTATTGCAATATTTTTTATGTGTTTTGCTTCTGATGTTTGTGTGAGAGAAAATAATTTGCGGCCATGTGAGCGAGCAGTATTTAATTACTACCTACAGCTGAGCTAAATATGCAAAACAAACAACAAACAAAAGAAAACAGTTTGATTTTAATGGGATGTGAGTAAAAGGAACCATCACAAGGCAAAGTCAAGATAAATAATCTAAAGTCATGTTTCCCATCAGTATCAGCACTGCATGTGCAACGACGACGTGGCACCAAAGCACAGTCACACAAAAATAAAGAATTCAGTACGAGTTCTTGAAAAAAGAAAGCCGCTCTGGGCTCGCCATCCTACACTAACACTTATGAATGCCATAAATCTTTGTGATGCAGTGTCACATCAGCTGAGACTCACACTGACCTCGACATCTCCCTTCAATTAAGAGCCTGTTTATGATTTCCGGAGGGCGGTGAGGCATCTCAATTGACTGTAAAAGCTTCTCATTACAGTAGTGCTTTTATTTAAAAGCAAAAGGCTGACAGCAGCTGCACACAGTGCACAACAACTTCTGCTGGTGCTTCTGTGAAGTCATTGCCTGTAACAGCAACTTTGGAGGAAACAACAGAGAGAGGGTTGAATTGATTTCACTGGCTGTGTGGTCCTTTTTCCTTACTGCTTCACCACCACTGGAGTAAAAGCACTCCACTCCTTTTCATACAGAAAGGATAAAAGAATAATTACTCCTATGATTTTCACTCATTTAGCTTTACTACATATAGTTTGCTGATGGTGTGCTCTCCACCTAAAGTGAAGCAAAACCGTGCTTCTGCTGCAGGAAAGTACTACTGTAATTACTGCACATACAGTAGCTTGAACTCTGTTAAATTACAGCTCCTGAAACATGTTAAAATGCATCTGTACAGTAAACACTGAACACCTGCACTAAGCAAGAAGACACATTCTCACTTTATTTTTTCACTTATACAAAAACTTCTTATATTTGCCAGACTTGATCATTCTCTACAGTTCATTCTGAGGCTAAAGAACCATTAAGGGACTAACAGAGGAAACATCTGGATAGAAAAATAACTAAATAAGTAAAAGAATAACAGACAAAAACAAAAATGAGGTATCAGTGTTCTCCTGAAGTAAGAGTCCCTGTATAAATTGCTCATGATTACATCTGTGGATTACTGGAAGTAGGACCAGAGTGAAGATATGAGTTGTTGACGAGGGCCAGATTGTGATGGTCAGACGACTGGGTCAGAGCATGGAGTGTTCACTACCTACTGTGCTAAGAGTGGCCTAAGGAAGGACAAACAGTGCATCTGTGACAGGGTCATGGGGGCGCAAGGCTCCCTGATGCATGTGGGGAGTGAAGGCTAGCCCGTGCTGTCTGATCCCAGCACACATTGCTGGAAAACTTAATACTGGTTCTGATAGAAAGGTGTCAGAACATGCAACGCATCACAGTTTATTGTGTTTGGGGCTGTGTAGCTGCAGACCATTCAGGGCGCCCATCCTGACCCCTGTCCACCACCCAAAGCACCGAACAACAGGCATGTGAGCACCACGGGGCAGCAGAAGGAGGTGGCCTGGTCTAAGGAATCACGTTTTCTTTTACATGATGTGGACAGCTGGGTGCGAGTGTGACACTTGCCTGGAGAAGAGATGGCACCAGGATGCATGAGGGGAGGAAGGTGATGCTCTGAGCAACATTCTTCTGGAAAACCCTAGGTCCTGCCGTTCATGTGTATGCGACTCTGACATGCACTGGCTGCTGTTTCAAAACATTGTTGCAGACCAAGTGCACCTCTTTATGGAAAAGGGATCCCTGATGGCAGTGGCCTCTTTCAGCAGGATAATGCTCCCTGCCACACTGCAATGATTGTTCAGGCACGGCTTGAGGAGCAAAACACTGAGTTCAAGGTGTGGACTTGGCCTCAGGATTCAAAGGATCTGCTGCTATCTTCTTGGTGTCAGATACCTGAGGTCAGCTTCAGAGCTTTTGTGGACTCCATGCCTGGATAGGTCAAATCTTTCTTAACAGCACGAGGGGGCTATACAATATTAGGCAGGTGGTTATAATGTTATGTCTGATTATATGTTCTGAGAATGTCTCAGATCACATTAACTGACTGCATTTCCTTCTCCTTGCCAGCAGGTGGCGGTCTGTTCCAAGCTTACACAGTCCTCAAGGAGAGAAAGAGCTAGTGGTTGTCAATAGACGGATGAGGTGAACATGGAGATTTGCTGAGGGAGGCTCAGTAAGGCTATCTTTGCATATTTATGCTTGGGTTAATCCGCTGGGAAAGGACTGGCTAGTGTGTGAGTGTGAGGTTAGTTATCACGTCTGCCACAGTGGTCACAGACAGAAGAGGGAGCAAGTCTCAGATATGCAGGATCACAAACAAAGTGATGAAGGAGGGAAGGGAATGAACAGGAACATGAAGGAAAAGAGAAGGGTAAAACAAAAGAAAATAAAGGAAAGAAGATAAGAGAAAAACATTGAGATGGGGAAGAGGAGGGAGGATGGCGAGATGGATGAAGTAGGAAAGAAGGAATGATGAGTCAAAGACATAGCATGTTGCTGAGGATGAGGAGGTGTGCAGAGTAAGAGGACAAATACATAATGATGGCAAAGCAGAAACATGTGGAAGAAGAAGGGAGAGAAAGGAGGACACACACACACACACACACACAAAGCATGTCAAGTGACGCAGTTCTTCGTCCCTCCATGTCTGTGTGAACATACTGAAAGCTCATTTGTTGTGTGACATGGTGTTATCAAAATTCGCACTGGTGATGTCTGCCAGTGATGTTCCCAGTCAGTAACAAGCTGCCTTTTCTACAAACAATGAGTCAAGGCCACGCAGTCGACATGGGACGTAGAGGGAGGGATTCGCTACAGGCACAGAAACCTGACTTGCCAAAAAACGAAGGTGAAAAGCAGGGTGCACCACAGAAGACCAGGGACGACAGATTAAAGGAAGAAGTGATTTTCTCTGAAGGGAAATGCAACAAGTGGTGTTAATAATTTCTCAAAGAACACACTCACACCTTTCATACTCATTACATCCTTGAACAGACAGAAAGCATCGAGCATTTTCCTCATCAAACACGTCTGTTCTTTTCGCTGCAGGCAACCCAGAGGTGTTAAACACCGCGCTGCAACAATTACATCTTTCCATCCACCTGCTTCTACTCTATAAGCAGGTTGAATTAAGGCAGGAAAAGACTGAATGCAAACAGCAGAAATGCTTGAATAAATCTAACTCAGGAACGTTTTTAGCTGTTGGAAAAGTTACTGAGAATGTGCTCTACTTTTTCTTAAGTTTATTAATAACAAAAACTAGTGAAGGAGCATCAAAGAACCTCAGGCTGCTCCTGGTGTGCAAGCCAAGATTACACAGTGCACAGGGTCGGAGTATGTAGAGCAGAACAGACACTGAGAGCACAGTCTGATTTAGTGGGTGCTCAGTTTGCAATCTGCTGTAGTGATTCTTCCTGTTTTGTTGATATGGCTATTGCCAGCAGGTTTAATGAATACAGATTTATTTGGCTTTTTGTCAAATAAGAAAGCTGATGGAAAACACGGGGAAGCACTGCAACCTGATGATAGTGAAAACATGGGGTTTAACAGGACGATGCTTCACTTCCAAGTCAAATCCAGCTGAGTTTACTCCATTTGTGGATGAAGTTTGCATGCAAGTCGTGTAGAGTTTGCCAAAATGTAGGCACAACAGAAGTCTTCTTTCTTTCTCAAGACACTAAGGATGCAGCAAAATATTGTGACCTAATGTTAATCGGAGTTACAGTATTATATCACTAGTACTTACATCCTTATTGGGCAACACTACATCACTGCCTTGGCAACACACGATGTACGGTTGACACTTTCATGCCAGAGCAGAACGAGCACTGCCAGTGTTTTTATTAACCACAATCTTTCTAGAATCCTCTCGTGTGCAGATACTGTAATAAGCAAGAAGTTTAAAAACATAAAATGATCCAAAATTGCAGAATCATCTGACTGATGTTTCTCTCTGACAAACAGTGCTTTTTCAGTTCTGTCCTTCTCATGCAAAGTCACACATTCAAACTTGTGTCAACAATTTGGAAACGAGCACATCTGTGACTCTATTCTGCTTTTAGCTTCAGGTCAGACTTTGTTAAAGTGTAGAGTGACCAAATGAGGAGCAGAGCAATGAGAAGTGTCCTCATCCATGTATGTATGAGCTCCATGACGGAGCCCACGATTCTCGGCTATTCTGTTAGCTCTCTGCAACTTTTCAAATCTCCCATGTGCAGGCTGCACCGAGTCAACACAACCACCATGACCATTCCTGTTTGTCCAGGGCTCAACACATTCTCATCTTTTGCTAAACACATGCAAACACTGAAGAACAGCGTCTTTCACTTTCATCCACTTCCGTCCATCTTTATAACATGTGGCTCAATTTCCGAGTCAGCACCGGCTCCTGCTGGAGTTGTAGTTTCCTTATATGAATTATCAAACATTTATTACTGTTGAATCAATAGCCAAGGCTTCATGCTGTAGTGTTGCTTTTTAGATCTAAAAACGAGTGCGTGGGATTTTGCTGGCGTACACAGGCATGCTACAGCAGACCTTCACTCCTGCTTAGCTCAATCCATTTCTGTCCATTTCCCCTTCCATCGCCTGGAAGCAAAACACCTAAATCTGCAGATTTAATGCTATTATCTATGTGACACTCAAGTGGTGAGAAATCGCTACCGTAGCACATGCAATTTAAATGAAATTGAACAACAACCTTTGTCTAAAGTGTTCCATTGCTCTCTCATAACCAGCGCACCAGTGTGTGGGAGGCATTAACCATCAGAGAAAATGTCCGTGGCCTGCACTTAACTATCTCTCCCTGCTACACAACATGGATTGAAACA